ACTAAATTCGGTATAGTAAGGGTTTTTTTATATTTAAAAATCTGTCTGACACTGAAAATCCGTTGTATTGTAAAATTTGTTATATCAAAATTCGCTGTAGAAAGAGTTGACTATATTAATATATTAATATATTAATACGTCTTATGACAAACCGCTACTTATATACCTATTATATTTGTTTATTTTGTTTATTTAATTATAATTAAAATAATTAAAAAAAATTTTTTTTTCCATTCAAATAATATAAAAAATTTATCAGTATGATTATTTGATAAAGTTAATATAATAATTTATAAGCTATCTAAAATGTTTTATATTAAATATCAGATGGATTATAATAATAGTATTAAAATTTTAATTAGCTAAAATTTTATAAAATATGTAATTTAACTTTTAAATAATTTTATTATTATTATATAAAGATTGCATTTTTCTAAATGAAAACATTATATATTTTCTTTATAAATGCATATTCTATAATACTATATAAAATTTTCTCTTTAAATTTACACCCTTTTTTTCAGGTTTCACTGCATAGGTTTTTTTTTGTGTAAATTCTAAATAAAAAAAACTTGATTCTCTTTAATAGGAAGCGTTTTTTTTTTAAAAAAATTGATGTCATTATTTACACTTAAGAATTTAAACTCGAAGATTAATTGTCGATATTAAAATCCATTACATTTTTTTAATATCATCAATCTGATTAAATTTGATATAAAAAAAATGCTTCTTTAATATTCATATCCATAATAAAGATTATATGACTTTAACCTCTTGATTACCACATTCGTTAAAAAGTTTTTGCTTTTGTATGTTTATGAGACAAACAAGGTGAAAATTTTTAGCATGTAAGACATGCAAAAGGTTGCATTAATGCTGTTCTCACCTCACCATATGAGTATCTTTCGGCGATCATTCCATCGCTTCAGAATAATTACCTCATCACAAAACAAAGACAATCCAAAGAATTTCAAGGAATTGAAACACGTAATAACCAAATAAACTATACTTAAATGGCAAACATAGCCCACCGAATTTTTTTCATTGTAAATAATATGTCATTGTACAATCATTACAGGTTTGTAATGCCATAGTTTGAATTCTTCAATTTTGTGGCTTATTTGGCTTACCTTAAACACAAGTAATTATGTCAGTGTTATTTGGGCTTGGGTTTATTTTTTATTTCTACATGCAAATAATTGTCATTATACATTGCGCTAAAATGGCTTGGTTTAAATAATTTAATTCCCAATTTTGCTGTTCAATGGCTTGGTTTTTAGTAAGTATTGGATATAAAAAGTGACAGCCGTTGTGAGAATCTGTAAAATAATAATAGATCCATTATAAAAAAATTTACTTTGATTAACTTTAAAGACAATAGAGCAATTTATCAAAAAAGACACGGTTGGTTTTTTTATTTTTAATGTGATTTAAATAAGTATTATTTATTAACATATTATTCTCTAATTTTATTTATAGATATATATATGCACACAAAAAATATAGTGATTTTATATTCATTTGGTATAGTTTGTCATTTATTTTACTCAAATACATATATATAAAAATAATACTAAATTAAATTAACTCCAACGTTTTTATAGTTAAAATATCATATAATTTACTATGTCTCATGACTCGATTTTAATAATATGAATTTTAGAATATTCATTACAAATTGTTGAAAAGATGATTTTCATCAATTCGAAATCATCATCATCTTTCAATTTGACTTTTAGTTGTTTAACAACTCATTACAGTGTCTGGAATATTGAATGTGACAACATAAGGAAAAAAAAGTAATTTATATTAATACGAACTTTAAGCATTACCGAATTCCCAAACTTATGAGAATTCAGACATTAAAAAGCTACTCAAAAATATCCAACATATGGAGTTTAAATTAGAATTTAAAGATATTGCAAATTATTTTTTTTTTTTGATTTTTTCAACTTTTTAAAATCGAATATGGGAAGTTCCGTTCTTGTTTAACATTTGTTTTATCATTAAACTATATCATAAAATGTTCTGGTTACAAGAATAAACAACTTGTTAGCAAGTGCACAACCTCTCTTAAGTTAATTCTTCATAAGACTTAAGAGAGTTATTATTATATATTATCATTATTTACCGATATCGTTTCATTTTTTTTGTCGACGTAGTTTTGATTTACTGCCGCAGCAACAACAAAATAATTGTAAACCATTACAGTATTATTTGCTTTGGAAAGGGTTGTTCGGCAATCGCATCGTAAGTTGATTTTTGGTCGGCCTTGGTGACAAAAATTCGTAAAGCGTCATTGTATTATCAAAATACTCGCGTGATTATATGCTGCCTGCAAACAATTGCATAATTAATTTATTTAGAATAAGTAAAAAGAATTCCAAAAAAAAAATTACATGATACCATTTTCTAATAAACTTTATTCAAAATAAAATCAGCAAAAAGGAGAATGGACCAAGTAAAGTTTTTCATTTTGTTCTCTTTTTTTTTCGAATTAATCGATGCATATATAAAGATTCTTTATAACATGAAAATTATCGATCATTTCAAAGTAATATTTTTTTTTTTTTCAAATAAAAATTACCTCGGTTTATTATCTAAAAAAATAAAAAAAAAATTTATCTTTTTATTCCAAATTTCCACAGTGGCTTTTTTTAACCATTTTGTGTAATCCACATGGTTAAACCGAATCACCATGCTTTCATTTTTATTTAAAGCAAATTGATAAATATGTGTAACCATGGATTAAAAAAAATTCGAGCCGAAAAATGAAAGCCGAAAAAGAAGATTAATCCCTAATATTTATTTCCATTCTCATTAACGTTAATAAATCGTTTGATTTGCAATGGAATTTTCTATCATCATACAATTAAAAAAATAGGTCTTCACGTTAATGTTACATTCGGTAAGATATCATTAACCTTCCGAAATGAAGACTAGTACAAACATGCAGAAGCGCAAAACGCCAAAAAAAATAATTCACAACATCAGTCATTCATTTACTAATCTTTTTTTGCAGGTGTGTAATATGGTCATAAACAGAAGTGCATCGGTGAACTCACACCGAAAATACCTTGGCGCTAACTACAATTGCAATCGAACCAAAGGTCGGATATAAAAAAAAACGGATGAAAGGGTATGATGATGTACTTGTGTAATTGTGTATTTGGAATGCAGAACTGCGGAACGCTTTGTCAATCAAACTTTATCCCAAATGATTTCAAACCCATGTTTGTCACACGTTATTGTACATCATAATAAAAAATATTTCGTTAAATTAACAAAGAAATCCCAAACTCATCTCTGTTTTTTGGAATTTTATTTCCACCGCAGCATCAAAGTCGTTCAATGACGACAATTAAAAAAGATCATGATATAACTTCGTGTAAATATGGGCGTTTTATTATTTTTGTACCTTAGGACACGTTGGAAATCTTCGTGGTACAATTTTTAGATTTGTTCCTATCGCCAGAATTTCATTCCAACGTAACAGTGAAATCCTGTTACCAACATTTGAATTAGAATAAATTTTTTCCGCGTTCTTCCGAAGTGAATAAATCAGAAAAAAGCTTATTATTCCAAGTGTGCATTGCATATTCAAGCGTTAGCAATATAATATATATATAAAATAAGATTTACAGCTATCCATTGTATAGATTTTCCTCACTTGAATATTTACATAAAAAAAAAAATAATAATCCTACGTTGGATAAATGCAACGTTAAACCCTTTCCATTTAGATGTTCCAACCTTCTCTATAGTTTTCTTTTTGTTTTATTTCCTTTTCACTCACATTATGGTTTCTTGTACTCCATTCTCGAATTTTGGATAATGCGGGTACTCCCCATTGAATGATTTTATTGATAACAACCCATTTTTGGTGATGTAAATTATTTTTAGATTCTTATGGGTTTAAACCAATTAGAGGATGTATACCGAAAATCTTTTATAAATCCTTTCACGTCTTCCCATTTTAGTAAACTCTAAAAAAGCAATACTATGAATTTTTTTTTTTTTTGGCGGTAATTTTAATATAAATAAAATGCTAATTTCAAAAAGCAAAAAAACACTAAATTTAATAAATAATCTTACACTTTTTAACTCCTTTACTTATTTTTTTTTTTTTTTTTCGTTAAAAAAAAAAAAAAATAAATAAATAAATAAATAAATAAAATTTATTACTCATATTTTTTCCAATAAGGGAAAAATAACCCTTCATAAACTATAATACATTTTTGTTTTGAAGAGTTTTTTTAACTTTTCCCTTTAGGTATAATAAAGTTGGTTGAAGAGTACTATTCTCTGAGAGAAGAAACATTTCTACTGAAATACCTGAATTTCCACAGCATACACCTGCAACCACCGACAACCACTACCTCCACCACCGTGACCACCACCACCGTGACCACCACCATTACCACCACTTCTACCGTTGCTACTACTCTGCTATTATTTCTTTATTCACAAATATTTTTTTTAAAACATTTATCTAATAAATAAATATGGGATTCGGAAGTAATAAGAATCAACAACGTAAGGGAAGATGGGCTAAATGGGTGAGTCTCAATGATTATTTATTGCGATCATAAAAAATAAAATACGATACCGTTCGTTTAACGTTTGGATCATCTGATTTGTTTAGGAGGATGATTTATTGAAATCCCTCGTTACTGAACTTAGCGTTGACAGTGATGATATCGATTGGTCTATTTTGGAAAAACATTTTGATGGTATGAGAGACTCCAAACAGATTCGAGAAAGATGGGTTAACCACTTAACTCCTTCAAGTAACTATCATAAATTTTTTTTTTCTTTCGGCATATCAATTAAATTTATTGATGCTAAAAAATATTTGTTCTCGTTCCCCCTTTGAATTTTCACAGTTAAAAAAAGGAAATTTAATGAAAAAGAGATACAAATTATTGAAGACGAATGTGCTAAACATAAATTCAAATGGTCTAAAATCTCTAAAAAAATACCTTACGCAACTCCCCTTATGATCAAAAACTTTTACAATAATAGATTGAAGAAGAAGAATCCTCCTACTGTTAGAAAATCATGTAATGCAAGTGCAATCACTACTTATACTACTGATTCTCAAACACATATCAACGTCAACGCCAACAACGATAATAATCATAATAAAAATATTAATAATAATAAGAATAATAATAATAATTATAATAATAATTTTGCTAAATTAATCAATAATTCTGATTATGATAATAATGACAATCATCTTACTACAACTAATTTAATTCATCACAATCATAATAATGAATACCTTTCTCCGGACACTTGCTATTATGACAAATCTAATTTAAGTAGGAGTAGTAGTGCTAAAACGGTCGTTAATGACGATTATTCTCCTAACCTATCAAGGAACAGTAGTGTGAGAACCATGGTTAATCCGGATGACAATTATCTTGTCACTTCGTTTCCATCTCCACTTCCATCTCCAGTTCCGTCTCCAGGTACATGTAAATTTTATAAAGTTTTGTTCTTGGTCCCTCCTCAATCACATTATACTAATCTATAATTTCTTCTTTCTTATCTTTCCTTTCAAGATCTCGCGAAAACTACAACACATGATGAAAAGTTACACACTCTTGCCTCAATGGCTGATTACGTTAGTCATAATGAATCAACAGACTCTCTAGCTAAACCAAAAAAACCAAAAAAAATGTCTATATCAAGTATTCTTAACATTTAATAATATATATCACGAACATTCATTACTTTATTACACTCAACATCACATTCATTATCATAATCATTACAATTTTTCCGTTGAATTTTTTTTCTTTATCAAGAAACAAATTGAGAGATTAAAAAATTTAAATTTAGAATCGGAGTTTAAATACCTTCTTACTTAACAAGGAACGATTAACATCATATATTATAAAACATTTGTAAATATTATATTATTTTTAGGCATGGTATATCTATTTATTTATTTCATTTATTTATTTTTTTTTATTTTTTTTTTGAAAATTAATAAATATATATATGTATTACACTTTTAATCTATTCGATGGAAAAACGTATAGACATTCATTGATAGTTAAATCATTTTTAAAATAGAACATTAATATTTAAATGTATTTTTTTTTTAAAAAAAAAGAAAACAATAAATTATTGAACCAGTTATTTAATCATGATTCATGTCCTGAGACAGGATTACATAATATTAAAATGTATTTAATATATCTCAAAGCATATAAAGAAAGCTACTTCCGGACCTTTACAATTAGTTTTAGTTTTAATTGGGACAAAATATTTAAAGAGGTTACAAATTAATTGCCTTAGATCCAAAATAAGGTAGTTAAAAGCATGATTATCTTGTGCAATTTAATTTGGTTAAGTGAATTGGTGAATTGCCGCTTCGTGATACAAATTTTCTAAAAAAATAAATAAACGCAATATACGATGGACGCGCGATGTCCTACTTCAGAGTACATGATTTTTTTTTTAAAAAAAAATTATACAACAAATATGAAATGTTTAAAGGCATATAATTAGACACAATTAGTCCTTGATGCTAACTGGGTACAAGTTGCAGCTCCGCAGCATACAGTAATTCTTTGATTTGCGATGGTGCGATTTCTTATTTATAGATGGGGAATATATTCATTGGGCATCCTTTAGAGTTTATTTCTCTAACTTCAATTAATAAGTTTCTCGAAATCTTTTGTGATATGACTTTTATGATGCAATTACGATACATAAATCGTTTTTATTACGTATTTCTATTTTAATTTAATGAAATGTCCCACGGATGCTTTCTTTGAACGTGAGTTATTAATTAATTCATTTCATTTAATTTCAATTTGCCATCTCCAGAACTTAAAATTGCAAATTATTATTAATACCATTTCTCTATGCAGTCCTTATATATATATACCCCGTCTAAATGAAAATATGTTATCTTATTATTTACTCTTTATAGTTGTTACAAATTGCACGAATTTAAAATTATGTCTGGGATGCATTTATAGAGTGTATGCTGTATTACCTAAAAAGAAAATAATTTGGGACAGTGATTGTAATGATTACGATAGAAGCGATATCTACTAAAAGTTTACTGGCGTTTTAAATGGCAAAGTACATGGTTGCACTTTTATTTCTCAGGAGATGTTTTTTAAACGGACATGTTTTACAAATTCAAAAAAAAACTTTATCCGTTGAATAGCCCAATAACTAGCATTGCCAAGTTGCCAAGTTGCCAAGAAGATTTGCAAAAAAAAAAATATTGTGATAGATACTCTATTCAAAACCGAGTGACAAATTATGTACGGGTTAGTGACATTGTGTGCAGGATATCTCACATTCATTTAATAAATAAACGGTTTTCAAAGATTTGAAAATATTTCTCTTATGAATCATCGGTGGAATTCTACAGTTCAAATAATATGAACAATGCGCTTTAATGGTGTATTCTCAACGAGTCTTTCCTTATTTTATAGATAAGACGACTTCAAATATCTCTCTTATCTATGTATATTTTTATAGACTAATTTGATCAACATTTTTTGATGCGTAAATGCACCGTAATCAGTGGTATCAAATGATCCAATCTATGTACAGTAAATACATCGTAATTCAAAAACTTCTTTTGGAGATAATATGATAGGATTTAATTTTATCTTAAATTTTCTTCACAAAGCAATCTTTCTAGAGAAACAAACTTCTCTAAGTACATCTCTATAAATAAATGCATTCTCTAAATGCATGGTCCTAAAATTATAAGAACTTTAATTATTTTACTTATAAATGCATCAAAATGTACGCTCTGTTTTTTATATATCGGATCCAATGGAGTGCATTCATAGAGAGGTTTGTTTATATATAAGTCTGATATAATATTTAACTTTATCTTCCAAATGCACGCCCTCTCCAAATGCATGCCTATTCAGCTAGTGATATAGTCTGTATTTGGAGGGATTTCTCTGTATTAGCATCTTGCATTAACCCATTTCGTCTAATATTTACTTTCACATAAATATACATATGTGATATGGTAATTTTCAGCATATTTTTTAAACCGTCGATTTTTTTCTTTCGTCTTTTTTAATAGCAAATTCCATTCTTTACATATTTGGTTGGTTTTTAAATTATGTTGTAAGAAACGTGTTTATTTTGTAATACTGTACCAGTAATACTTAATTAATGTTTACTTGATATTTACAAATTGAAGATCTCCCGCCATCCCGTCATGCATATTTGGCGCGTAATATTCTAAAGGCGTTTTTTTTTACATTTTACGACTTTTACCTTAACGTTATTGGAAATAAATTAATACAAAAGATAATGTAGTTTAAATAAAATATTAAAAAATCAATTTAGGACTGAACGTTTAGTACTTTGATACATCAAATTTTTATGAAAAAAAAAGGTATATGAATAAGTAATATTTTATAGCATTTTTAATAGTAAGAATGAAAATTCTAACAACTTTTTTTTTAAATTTAAATTTATTTTAATGGAAAGATTATAAATAAGATTTATTTATTTTTTATTGCTTTTGTAATTTCTTTTTAGAGATATATTTATGCTTTTAATAATAGTATAAAATTTGATTGAAAACTTTCATCCAAATGGTTTTATTAAATAATTTAAATTTACAAACCTTTTAAAGATACTTCTAATAAAGTTCCTATCTTACAAAAACACATTACTACTGTTACCCAAGTGAAAATGAGGTACAGCAAATCACATGATCAGAAATGTGATACAAAAAGCATGATTAATATTC